GGCCAAGTGACGAAACCTGATCTACCTTCACATGTAAGCTTCCCTTTACAAGTTCCTTTGATCTGAGCAATTACTAATGAACTTTACCATCGTCAACATTCCCAAACCCAAGACACTGAAACCCAACTCTTGAATCTCACTCTCTAATAGCGTCCCAACATCAGCTTCCTCAGTCCTCCCTCTATATGCTTTGTCCAAACACATTTACAACAACAGACAACAACTGGGACAACAGACAGCTGGGTTAAATAGTCAACTCTATGACTACTCTCCAAAACCATGGCTTACTCCTCTTATAATATCACCTTTTTTATACATAATGGCTACCAGGTTTTAAGGACCTCAGTCAAACCAAACTGCACTGTCTCTTAGTCACACCACCTAAAGACATCAAAAGAAAAAGTGTTTGATGCCACACAATGAGATATGGGAGACTGAAAGGGATCCCTCAGCCCGTCATACTCCTCTCCTCCTGCATCATGATCAACATGAAAATGTCCAAGCTGCCTGCTTCCCCCTTGACCATTCAAGCACCAAAACAAAAACAGAGGAAGAAAACAAAATGTACACGGGTGGACGTCAGTCCCGCAGCGAGGAGTGTGTGTCGTGTCGGTGGGCCCCCCCCTGTCAGCCCACAGGATGCAGTGCATTTTTGGGAGGGCTGCAGGTGGAAGACTCAGGCAGACGGGAAGGAAGGACCAGCCCCAGAGAAGCACACACGCACTCTCACAGACACTTTTAGTCTGTATATTCAGCCACAATGGACAGCAGCACCGTGATATCATCTGGCTTCCCACCTGCAGGACGAGACAAAAGAGTGTGAGAAACTGTGCAAAGTAGGCCTTTTCTTCCCTTAAGTGCAGGGATAGTTGTAGCTCACTGACACTGCATGCTGGGAGCATAACGTCATTTTTATTTAGCTTTGCTCTGGACAACGGGAGTCAAACTAAAGGTGTGAGTGCATTCCAGAGATAGCACTCAACTTTTCGATAAATATAGTTGTACATAAAATATTTTAACAGACAATGTTTATGCAGCTTAAACATATTTGCCATATGTATGCTCTTATTCATGAAGCCAAATTATAGGAATTATGAGTTAAAATTAAGGTTGGAGGCAGGAAAAAGAAGATAGAGAAAAAGCCCTTTGGTTGCACCGATTTTAATAACATCTGAATTACATATACTGTTTAATGCATAGTGTTTTAAAAGGACCAGCGTGTAGGACTTAGTGGCATCCAGCAGTGAAGGTGCAGATTGTAACTAACTAAACACGACCTCTGTTTGTATTTAACGACTTGGGAATGAGAACAGCTGTGGAGTGTGTTGTAGAAACTATGGTGGCTGCCAAACTCGCAAAAATTCAAAAGGTCCTATCTACAGCCAGTATCGGTTCCGTGCTACGGTAGAAACATGGCAGGCCACATGTAAAGTGACCTGTGGATAAAAGCGGATCATTCCAAAGTCACACCATTCCTATATTTAATTGATTATACACTAAGGAAAACATACCCAAGAATATTATATTCCATTTCTGCCAATAGATCCTCCTAAATCTTAGTACTTACCTCTTACATTCAGACCATTGTCACAGGCAAACTGTGCAAAAGGGGACATATAGTTGGGGTCGTAGGCCAGATCATGAGCTTGCTTTGCAATGCTCTGTGCCGTCTGCAGGACGCTGTCATAGTTTGTAGTCTGAAATGAGCGAAATTAAAAAGCATTAAAAAGGATTTATTTCTACACGTGTTCATGTTATAACTAGATACAGTATATGTGAAAGCATGAATAAGAAGAATCAGAAGTGACACCTTGAGTTTTTTCAGCTCCTGAAGAATCATGTAGTCTGGCATGTTGTCAAAGAGGCCGTCGCTTGCTGTCAGGATGATGTCACCGAGCTGCACGTCGAAGGAGGAGCTGTCAGCTGCTTCAGGGCTAGAGGGAATGGGGAGGGGGCACGGCAAGATAAGTCACAAGTGAAACAGGAGCATGCAGCGCCTGAGCTGCTGTAAACAGTTTCCAATATGGAATTAGGTAGGTCAGAAGTCACTGGATGACTGGTGGACGCGGTGTGGGTGTTTAATCTGACAGCTGACTTGGAGGCAGCCTGCCCTCGTGTCCTTGCCAAACCTAGAGAGGTCCTGTTGCTCGCTGGTGCCATACACAGGACTCAAGTTTATTTCCTGGGACCCATTAACCTTATGTTGGGCCTTGAGGGTTTTTTATTTTAAGGTGACACACCACAGAGTCGTAAATTGACTTAGGAGGATTTACTAGCTGAATTGCAAAATCTTAAACTTTATTTCCCACCAGAAGAACAGGATTAACCTAGTGCGGAAAAAGAATCCAAAAGCAGGACCTCAAGGCTGCTCCAAATGGATTACAAAGGGTTTATCCCTCATTAACCAGGCTCCCATTGTCAGAATAAAAAGGTGACACCTATCTGGCAAGCCTGTTTGCATGCATGAGCTTTGTGGGTCTTGTATTTTTCCAATATGTTCCCCATTAAGTAGTATTTCAAGCACATTTATGTACATGTATTTTATTAGGTTGTGATGATAACAAAGATTATGGCGGGTTCGCCTTTGAAACTGCTGAAATGTAAACCAAAACAAACTATAAACAGGATATGAGAGGATTATCGCCATGTGGGCGATAAAAGAAAAGATGATAAAGTAGTTACGGAGGCTATGCCAGGAGCGTGACGCCAAAGCAGGTCTCGTTTATCCTGCAAACACTGTCCGAAAGTTCCTACTGCAACTACGTTTGCTTGTAACATGAGACTAAACCCCCAAACGACTTTTTTCAGCTGAAAACCGATGTATATGGGTATTTAATAGTGTATTTATAGATTTGACAAAAACATTTACAAACGGCTGTGAATGTGCTTGTAATAATAGTTAATGTTCCTTTGGACTCAAAGACCCGGAGAATCTGACAGCAGCTGTTCCCGGCTGGTTAGCTCTTGACTACAAGCAGCTGTATTCCTGATACTCCGAGCGGTAGTCGGTCTGTGACTCTGGTCGGCGTTACCTCCCACATCACCCCACCTATGTTATTTTCTGCTGCATTTTTTTAAATTTGCAAAGAGGGAGGGAGCTAGAAGAATTCAAGGGGTTAGGTACACTACACAGGTAATTTGCTCCGTACAACGGCATGCACACACACAACTGTGGCACATTCAGAAGTAGCTTAGCAACAAAAGACAATTCAACTTTCATTTTTTTCTGATATACTTGTATTAAAGTGTGCAAAGCTACCAGTATTGCCACATTCCAGTATCCTCCAATTATTTTTTCAAATATGTATTCTTCACACACAGATGTAACACTGAGCTACTGACCTGTCACTAAGCACCACCCCTTCAGCTCCCGGAGGAGCGATGGACAATTGGAAGGGCGTGTTAAAATAATGCTGCTGTTCGTCTGAGCGATGAACCACCTCTCCTCCCCTAACGACCAGGAAGCCGGAGTCGCCAAGGTTACATGTGTGTAGCCGGTGACTCCGTCGATCCAGAACCACAATACAGGCCGTGCTGCTCCCTACAAAGCAGAGAAAAGTAAAACAACAATAAGATTATACATATATATGCACAGAGGATACAATCGGAAAAGAGAACAGTGGGAAAGAGGATAATGTCACAGAGGAGACTACCACAGGGAAAATTACAACATAGACTTTCCAGTTTGGACAGAAAAGAAAAGCACCTGTAGGGTAAATCTGTGTTTTACTTCTGAAGTAACAGGTAAAATGCTGCCCAACAAGTACATCAGTACACAGTACTTTGTGTGCACCCTCCTTGTGAATTTCATGCTTCCATAGTGGGTGAGTGAGTTCATTATGCAGTTCCCAAGTGGCCTCTCACCAAAAACAAGAGAAAACCAACCCAAGGGTCATGGGCCGTGCCTGTCCCAGTGACTGAGGCTTCATGTGCCAACAGTCCAGGTAACCTTGAGCAGGGAGCGCAAACCTCATCACAGCTTCCCAAAATAAAAGTAGGCCATTTGACAAACATCGTGACGAGGGGGAGGAGGTTAACATTTAGCGTCGGCGCTCGCTGTGGGTCAGGAAAACAGAGTCTCAGAAGAAATGTGACCTTGGTCACATGTTTGACATGTGCAAGCTTTTAAAATCTGTTCAACTCTCCTGCAGTGTCAGTTACAGATAGATTCTTGATCTTTTGGGGCTCTGGGATGAGGAAAAATGTTCACCCTGCATTTTTAGCCCCACAAGGTCACTGAGTCTCAACTTCCATGTGCTGGCATAACATAATACGGCTCGATTAAATTGGTTACCGCACAGTTATTACACCACTGAGTAGGATGCAGGTCTAAACCTAAATCAATAAAGAATACATTGTGCACAAAGATGTGCTGTTGTTTTATGTAACTGTCATTATCTGTCTTATGTACTATTTATGTATGTATTCCTCCAACCTTTCATGCTCCTTTGTGCCAGATTAGAAAAAGAAATTTCACATGCAAATGGAGACAAGTTACAGTAATATGTTCTGCATCTTACTAAGCAAGGCGACTACTTATAGTCTGACTCATCCTGCAGCTATGTTATTTATTTTTCAGAGTATGGCTATTCACATGGGAAGTATGACTCACTCCACCACTGACTGTGTGTGTACAATAATATGTGATCCGTGTGTAGTGTTGTCTCTGTGTGGACTCACCTAGCAGGGGAACTTTGTTCTGCAGAAGTTCATAATAGCCAGAGGTCAGAATACCCACTGGATTACTGGGAGTGAAGCGTCCCTCCTTCACCAGTCGCTCGCAGGTTCTCATTAAGGTGGCGGAGAACTGAGACGGGTCAACACCATAGTCCCGCCAACCACCTACACCATCTGCAACGCCTGATGGACAAAATGGGAATCATATTTTAATGTAGTTATTGTTGAAAAATCTGGTTCCGGCTTTCTGGATGTGAAGACTTGACTGCTGCTTTTATTTGGTTGATGTGAGAGTAAACAAAACAAGCAATCTTTTTACATTTAATAGAGCAAATGATTTGCCAATTAATCTGGAAAATAATAATAATAATAATAATAATAATAATAATAATAATAATAATAATACTACACACTGACAATGAATGAATGAAAACAACCTGCATTATTGAATTATTAATAATCACAGTTTCTGTCATCCCTTGAATCACTTGCTCTGAAATCATCAGTTTCATTGTGTTTGGTTTCCGGTTACAGAAACCCAGATGGTCCCAAACCACACAGCTGTCATAGTGGATAACCAATGACAGACTGAGCTGGAGAGAAATAAAAGTAATGTAAGTTAACTGAACTACAGAGATGATGCATCAGGATTCACCATATTGAATATCTGCTCAGTGCATAAAGTTAAAGAGCCATGGAGATGGAAAGAGCAACCAGTCCAAGTCTTTCACTCTTTTTTCATGTCTATGACTCTGTGAGCACAAGTTACTCCTCTAGTCCAGGTTCATGTTATAGTGTATACAAACAAACATCAATATTGAAACCAAATATTGTTCACACGCTTTCATTTTCTCTTTGTGGTGGAAGTCCCCTCAAATACCAAACTAAAATGACAAAATGGACCCTGGAAATCTCTTGAAACTTATTTTTAAATAACTGTCTTGATAATCACCCCTATATATGTATACTGTCAATGCAACCACCCCAGTGAACCTTTAAGAGGAGTTTACTCCACCACCTCTCCATGTCTGCCTCCTCTGTGTAAACACGTGAGGAGATCTTCATCCACAGAACTGGCTATTTTAATTTTAACTCATCACTATAATCATTTAAAACTGCACACTGCTTAAAAAAACTGTAAAAACACAGCGTGTGAGTGTCGACCAAAGCCGTGTGATGAGTGCTATCTGGCCGTGTTAACCTAACCCTGCTGTCAGCTGAGGACAAAGCAATCCCACTCAGCTGAGCTAGCAGGCTACTGTCGCTATTAGCAATATGGCTGCCTCCATGCTCAACCATTCTGACCTTTGCAAGACATTGTAATGTTAACTCTGAGAGGCTGCAACGGGGGCTTTTCCACTCCTGTCCACCTCGAGTGAAGCTTAACTACGTGTGCTAAGTTTATATGGTTAATATATTGCACTGGCAGCGCGTATTCTTCAGCTGGAGCTCATGTAGGTGAAAGGTCATTCGGTGTTTCACCTGAAAACAGCGACATTTAATCAGTTTACAGAGACAATGAGCTGCAGAAACACTACACACTGAGTCTGTGGGCATTACACAGGCTTCACTAAAGTCAACAGATAACAGAGGGGATGCACAGGGGAGAGAGGTGATGTCTGTTACAGGACGAGGTGTGTGTGTGGATGGGGGTTGTGTGTGTGTGTGTGTGTGGATGGGGGTTGTGTTTTCATCCGAGGGGGTCGCTGCACGTGTAGGGGGTTAACTACCTGAAGGTCACCCGAGCAAAGAGGGGGTCTAACATGCATGTGCAGGCAAGGTAACAGGGGGTTTAATAATGCCAAAGAGCTCACCCAACACATCGGCGGTCCTGTGCCGCGCAATGAAGCAGGCATCGTCTCCGTAGCACATCCCTTTCTTCAGGATCCCCTTGCGAAAGTCTTTGCCGAAGCCATAACTGGCGCTGATCAGGCTGTAGTCCCGACCGTCAGTCTGAGAGAGTCCGCCCAGGACAGCCCTGGCTACCAGTCTGCCATAAGACAGTACGGATAACATTCCCCAGCAAGGAGCAACCCCGTCTTGTTTTGAGCACACACCAACACACACACACAGTCTCTACCCGACCCGGGTCGCCTGTCTGTCAGGATACTTTAGTTGAATCCCGGCTGTCTCTCTTTTATCCGTCCATTCGTTCCGCACCGGTCCGCTTCCGTGTAAATAATGCTAACGCACACACAAACACCGTCCGTCCTGACTGGATTAAAATACACTTCTTGTTTTTTTTTTTTAATCTTATGTCTCAGGCGTGTATTTCATGAGCGCAGTTCCTCCGCTGGGCTCTCTCCTTCCCGACATGTTTGCTCTTGTGCTCAGCGACCGACCGACCGGACACGACGCAGCGAGCTGCGAGTACATACGGGTGTTTGACAGTTTACAATCCTGACGTCACGGCCCAACGACGCCGTCCAATCAGAGCGCGGCCCGCAGCCTCGTTCTGAGCGGCCGTTACCAGAGCAGCCCGGAAATCAGACACACTGAGCTGCGCATGCGCCGGGCTGGCAGTCTTTTTAAATGCCTTATAACCTGATCTATAATGTGGTATATTTGTGTGAATAACAGTGGTATTTTATAAGTTAACGAGGGTAAACCCAGTAAAACCTACCGAATAAGTCATATATATGTGACGTCTTTTTTTTTTTTTTTTTATTACCCCCTGTTACGTAGTAAAAGCTCAGGCTAGGATATGCTTAAATAAGTTAAAGTAAAACACACATGAAAATATAACACTTCTTGGTGTGTTTTGGCTTCACGGTGATCGCACGGAAGTCAAAGCAAAGTGTTCCCACCACAGACTCATAATAAACAGATTATTATTATTATTCCCTCCATGGTACCTGTCCTGCATCAAAATGAGGGCCTCCTCCATCTAAACCACCAGGGATGGGAATTACGGCGCATTTTAGTGATCCTGATCATTTGGCTCAGCTCAGAGTCTGCTGTTCGTCTCCCAAACTGCTCTTCATTTAGTACCACTTCTGGCTTTTATATTCAGACAAATTCAGCAATATTGTGACCTGTGATTGGTATGTGTGCACGTATGTCACTTGAACTATTCAGTGTAATTATGCTAAATTATAGTTCTAACTTCCAGAATAACATAATAATAATAATAATAATAACATAATGCATGGTTTAAACATCTTATACAATGTAAAACACGTGTGTGTGGAACATTTTATTTAAATTGAACTATGGTTCGTTGGATGTAACACTCACAAGTCGATTCAATTCACAATACAGAATTTTTAAAAACAAAATGAGATTGAAGACAAATGATAACAGATAACTGTAATATTAACCTTATTTCTCAGACAAAAATCTATGTGATATTATTTTTTGTTTTATCACATTATAGAAACATATTTTTTGTTATATTTATATATACATAATAATATATATTCATATTATATTTACATTTCTTTGTAAAAGTGAAACTTGATACCACGATTAATATCATGATTAATTTTTCATCTCACCGATTTGAATCTTCAAATATTTGTATCATGATATATCTTTACATTACTAATGTTGAGACGTTTCTGGATTGTATTTAACACCCTAATATTATTATTATTATTCCATCTTGTATTATTTTATGTAATTCCTCCACCAGCTCATAAAGCCGACTCATCCACGAACGACACACCCCGGAAACCTCCCACCTCGATCCCGACTACATAACGGAACCGACTGAGAGGACAACAACGCATTTCGTCGAGTTTCCATCTAAGAAACAGCTAAAGCGTCGCTTCACGGTAAGAAATAATGATGGTGTTATGTATATAAAGTGTTTGTGGGGTGATGAGAGAACTAAACCCTCTGTTATAATATGATTTGATGTCAGTGGGGGTGTTTAAGCGGACGAGCAGGATGATGATGATGATGATGATGGCCACTCAGTTTAGAAATAAACAAAAAATACGTCTTTCCTCGTTCACTCATTGTGGTTACATTATTATTTAATCATTAATTTTTAGGTTAACCTAATGAGAATAATGCTCGGCTGGAATATCTTTGACACTTAGCTTTAGCTTTGCTGCTTCATGCCCTGTAGACTGCTATACACGGGTAGCTAGGATAATGTTGTTGCTCATGTTGTTCAATTATTCCATGAAATTGTGACACTGTGCTCCTTTTTGCACGCCATCCTGACAGGATGGAAAAAGGGGCAGGGGATGCAAAGTTCGTTTTTATAATGTTTGATTGTTTTATGATCCTGGAACACTTTTGTCTTCAGGGCCACGATGGGGAGGTTGTGTGAGATTGCGCGTGTGTCCCTCCTTGTTGTGTTTCTCCTGAACACTGAATCGACATGGGCCAAAAGAGGCAGCAGCAGCAGTGGCAAGAAAACCTCATCTACCAACAGCAGGGGCAGCTCGACAAATTCAAAACCCAGCCCTCAGAGTCCCAATCGAAACAGCAATCCATACCCTGCTGGTGGAAGTTACCCTTATCCAGGAGCTGGCAACTCCAAACCAGGAGGATATCCCAGACAAAACCCACCAAGTTATCCAGGAGCCGGTAGTAATCCCAACAATAATCCTGCTAGAGCCAATCCTGCAGGTTATCCAAACCAAAACCCTGCTGGAGGCTATCCTGCTGGAGGCGGATACCCGGCCGCTGGAGGCTATCCTGCTGGAGGCGGATACCCGGCCGCTGGAGGCAATCCTGCTGGAGGCAGATACCCAGCAGGTGGTGGATACCCAGCCGCAGGAGGCAATCCTGCTGGTGGATACCCAGCCGGTGGTGGATACCCAGCCGCTGGTGGATACCCAGCCGGTGGTGGATACCCAGCCGGTGGTGGATACCCGGCTGCAGGAGGCAATCCCGCTGGAGGCAGATACCCAGCCGCAGGTGGCTACCCTAACCAGTATCCAGGCAGAGGTGGCACCAACCAGGGAGGATACCCTAACCAGTACCCTGCTGCTGGCGGCTATCCTAATCAGTATCCTGCAGGAGGTGGTTACCCAGTCAGAGGAGGAAATACAGGGCAGGGTTGGGGTCAGCCTGGTGTAAATCAAGGGGGTTACCCTGGTGGTTACCCCAACTGGAACCCGAACAATAAGATCCTCAGTCCCAGATATGGCGGAGGAGGCTATGGATACGGTAGTCAGGGGATGGGAGGGTCTCCTTTCTCTCGTTCTGTGCAGAACATGGGATACCAGCCCAAGTCTACAGGGTTTGCCAAAAAAGCCATGCTGGCAGCAGGCGTTGGTGCTGTGGCCGGAATGGCCGTTGGATATGGACTGGGACGGTTCCCTCGACCACATTTCAATTTCCGCAACCCCGAGGAAGAGCAGTACTACAACAACTACATGTACCAACGTTACGGCACCAAGTCCACAGATGAAAAAGACTTTGGCCGTGACTACGTCTATAAGCCTCCGCCTCGGGCAGAGTCCTACGAGACCTTCATGGGTCGCTGCATGAATAGGACTGACGTTCTTAAAGACAGCAGCTCTCCCACTACCAAAGGTCAGGGTGGAGGTGATGAGGATAACGACACCGTCAGCATCGAGGAGATCGGATACCCCGCCCTAATTGAGCAAATGAAGTCCAGGCGCTGTGTTGAGCAGTACATGGACTACTCTTCCCGCTTCCTACAGGAGCGAAAAGCCGAGAAACAGTCCAGCCAACCAAACATCGAGCACAGTCGCAGCAGCCCTCTGAGCTACGGGGTGACTCAGCTTTTCACTTCCCTCTCCATGCTACTGTCCAGCATGCTCCTTCTCCAGTAAGAACTATTAGCGTTCCTCTCACTACACCCCAAAGGGATTTTTACTTCCTCCACTATATCTGCACGTCAACATGCTACTAATGTACATCAACTCCAACCACGGCTGTATACCTGAAAGCTCTTTGCGTCATATTTAGTCAATCATTATGTTATATAGTGTATATAGTAACTAAAGCAGTTGATTTTAAGAGGCAGCAGTCTCTTTAAAATATTACAGTGAGATCTACTGTTTTGTGTTGAACAAGTTGCACTTTTTTCTTTTTCTGTTAATTGTTCCAAGAATTTATTTTGCACCTTTGTACTCAACATTTTCAAACAGTGAAAACAGAACAGAGATTCAGGGTATTTAAGTTTAGTTTTGGACGACAATTTATTATGACAATAGATCTGCTACTGTGTAAAATAGGAATGTGACATTAAGAGTTATATACATGTACAAAAACATATAATATTAACATTATATTATTAATTCAACCTCCTCAGTATGGGACAATTCAATTGACTGATGTTCAGCTGGTTACCTTATTGTTAATCAAAAGGACATTTTATTTTAATCAAATATAAGTAAAAGAGCATTTAAGACTAGGTTTCCCAGTTAAATTTGTATACTTATAAATCGTAAATTGACTGAAATTTATTTAAAGAAATTTTATTTTGACCCTTTAAAAAAGTGGGCTTTCAGAGCAGACTTTACTCTCACTTTTAGTGCAAGTTATTTGTGAAAAATGAGAGATAAATCTTGTACTCCCTATATGATGATGGCCCAGACGAGACCATGTAATGGTCTCAAGATGAGGAGTGTGCATGTTTTGGTACAAACACTTGGCCTAAAGCTGTAGTATTTTCTGTAAACAAGCATTAAGTCATGACATTGGTGGCTTAGTATTCCACAATAGTTAAACACTTAATAAAACAAGTACAGGATTGTCATACTTCCTTCTCAGGTATGTGATACTAACACTATTTGTTAGCTGCCTGTAAAATCCTGGATTGCATGTAATAGCCCTTTAACGGTAAGAGGGGGCATCAGTAAACGTGTGTCCTTTTGATGTGCAGCAAATGTCGTCATTAGTGGTGTCGTGGTGTCGCTACCTTGCCTGCAGCTGCTGAGAACAATAAGTGCATTTGTTGACAATAGCGCCTGATGCTTTTAGTCTGTGTAGTGCTCGCTTGGTGAAAGCTGGGATTTACTTGAGGTTATGAACCAATGAAGTCCCGAACAATGCAAGACTCTCGTACTAAACCTTTGCATCTCAGCACTAACCCCTGCTTTATTTCTGTACCTTACCTTACACCTCACACACAGTCTCTTAATGTCACATCTATCATCAGCCTGACTTATGGCTAAAGGTTGCCTGGGAACAGTGGGATGATTTTTATTTCCCCATACCTTGTGTCAAACCTTGGATTCTCCTTTATGTTTTGCCATGTTCAAGTGACGCTCTAACTTCCCGGACTTTCCAGCCATATTTTTAAGGCTTTTCCCTGGTCAGCACATCTCTGTGTTGTCCCCCCATCACTTGGATCTTCCTCTTGCACAGATAGTTATAGGTCAGATGTCAGTGGGTCTGTAATTATCTGTGTTTGCTTTTCCTGAACTCTAGCCTCCCCTGGCTGTCATGGTGTGTATCTCCAGGAATGAAACAATGTTCTCCTTTTTTCCTTTTTAAAGTCAGTTTAATGGACTTTTAACTCTCAATAGGTTTGTGGAGTTATGTATAGTGAAGTTTATCTGTCTGTGTGATTGTTTTTCTTTTACTACTCCGGCTTGTTTTCTTTTTTATCTTACTGGTTTGTAACTTTGCACTTTGTAACTGTGTTTTGAAAAATGCTACATGAGTTAAGTTTGCAGGCTGTCTGATACTATTTAGGGGTTTTCACTCATGTTAAAACTTTTTCATTTCACTACTGGTGTATTGAACTGAGTGTTAAGTCCACAGAACAATGTTTAGTGTGTAATAACTTTAAAGTTACTGAACTGTCCAGATACTCCACACATTGTACAGTGTATCAGGAAGTGATTTTTTGTAGTGACTGCCCCTTTTACTTTCTCCTTATCCATGTTCATACTCCACCCAGGGTTTTTCCTGTTCCTGTTCTGTTCATTCTGGCAGAATGTTTTCAGTTGATTTTAAAAATTACACGTTCACAATTTCATACAATTTAGGGTGTAGAATATCTTTAAAGTGCACTTATGTCCCTTTAGGATTAGATATTCTGGAAATGTGTCATTGAGCTCATATTAGGATAGACATCTGTGTCAATATTCTTCTTTGGACCTGCAATTGTAAACACTTTCTGATCAAATAATATGACTAACAAGTTTTGTCATGGATGTTTCTGTGTTAAATAAAATAAGTAACAAAATAATGGTTTCTCTGTGTAAATGATATCATTTCACAAACACTCACATATTCCTGTTCAGTCTCTTTTAGAGGACATTTGGACAATTGTTGGTTTGTTCAGTGTCACTCGTACGGCTTAAAACATTAAATTACCAGTTATATGTTGCATAGAACTTTATTTTATTGCTTTTTGCAACTTTAGATCTATATTGTGACTAAAAAAAAGTCAAAACTATAGATGCAACGGTTACTTGATCAGAAAAGCTGAATTCATTTGAAATTAATAATTTTAAAGTCATTTTTGACAAATTCTTATATTTGATGATTCCTCAAATGGCAGTTTGTATTTGTGGTACATTATAGTAAATTGAATATTTTGGGGGTTTGGTGATTTCCACTTGTATTCACAGGCCTTTTTCACAGTTTTCTAATATTTTATAGACCATTATAAAACATTATTAATCACTAGATATATTAATCTATTGATGAATCTATAAAACCACACATAGTTTATCATATTACCATTTTGAAGGTATAAACACCCTATATTAAACAATAAAGGACAGGAAGGATAACTTATTGAAAGGAGCTTTTATTTCATTTGATATGATGCTTGATCTCTTTTTCTGGGATCAGATATCAAATGTCTCTTATCCAGACTGCTATAAGGAAAGACACCACATGTCCAAGGGTGAGAAAGATGTTAGTCATGGGAGCCGGGGCAGCTGCATTAACAAAGGCTCTCCAGAGAGACTGGTTGCGAAACCCTTGGCGTTCGTTGTAATAAAGCCCTCGATCTTGTTCAGAGGAAGCTGTCTTGTGTCCGTGGTGACTCCCAGATCCGTGCTTTGACCTACCGAGGAACCCCAGCCCGTACCCAGTGCCCGTGCCGCCCAGCACCCCGGCTGCTGCTGCTCCAGCCCACTTCAGGCCCTGCTTGGAGAGGCCTTGGCTTTTGGAGGGAGACTCTTTGCTGCCGTCACCTTTTCCTTTACCCCTGAAGCCGCGCTTACTGTATGCATACTGTGCACCTGGGCACAGAGCTGCCACAAGCAACAGGCAAACCCACAGTGAGAGAAGCTTCTGCTTGCCAGCCATGACTGCAGACCTGTACCCTGCAAAAACACATCTACATGTATAAATAATAGTGGCAGGGGAAAGCCTGATGGAGAATAACCTGAACACACACAAGCAGATTATATTAAAATGATATTGCTCTTATTATTCTTGCATGGTACACTTAGTCATTTGAGAGGCAAACTGAGAGAGGTCTGTAAAGTCTGTTGGCAGTCGTTCAAATTGGCATTAAAGCTTTTGATTTTGCTCACTGAACATTCAAAGTCACATGCTCACCAGCACTAACACTAACACAACAGACATCCAGAACTATCCACATGCTCTGTCAACACTGGGATTAGCTGGGCATTATGTGTGTGATGCATATTTCTCCCTTTCATGATGCATTTGTTTTTCCTGGCTCTGATAAGCAGCATATATCACACCATACATCTCCATAGTGTGTTACAAAACATATTCATAATGTACATATGCAACTATATGTATCATTGCAATGCACCTGGAAGGAGATGATTTATACAACTTAAAATCACACAGGTAAAAAAAAGTGTTGATAGCATCCATTTTGCAATAAATAAAAAAAGAGAAGAATCTTAGTTAAATGTTTTTTTTACCTTTCTGGTTAGTTACACTGAGAGGTCGTGATGCTGGAGCAGCTGTCCTGTGTCAAACCACAACACAGCATTTTGGTACCAGTATCATTTCCATACCAACATTGACTCGGAGCCAGCACAGCTCCTCCCTAAAACAAATCCTGCTTTGCTATTGGTTCAAAATCAATAATGCAATACAGGTTGAATGATTTGAGCTGATGGTAGCATTTCACATACAGTTACTTTTCTTCCATTATTCACCAGATGCAAAGTCTATGGGACTATTTTCTATCACAGGTCTATAGCAGCTCCCACATGACCTGCATATTTGTACTTCATTTTATTCATTAAAAGCTTATATATTTATGTCTACATGATTCTAATGCTCAGCAGTGGTAAAATATTGGTTTGTCTCCTTAACTTGTGCCTTATTACCCTTAAATGAGACTTTAGCTGGAAGGATGGCCTGTAGAAAGAGGGAGACAGTCAAAGCACAAGAAGAAGAGTTACTATTATAAGACAGTGAATCCTTAAAGGAGCAGTGTGTAGGATTTAGTGGCAGCATCTAACTGGTGAATTGCAGATTGCAACTAACTGAACGCCGCTCACATCTGTATTTGAGAACATGGAAATGAGAACGGAGAAGAAATGGTGGCTGCGAAACTCACAAAAAAGGCGAAGGGTCCTATCTAGAGCCAGTGTTTAGTTTGTTCGTTCTGGGCTACTGTAGAAACATGTCAGTTCAACCTGGCAGACTCCACGGAAGGTTCATACTCAAATGAAAACATACTTATTATATTCCATTTCTGCCAATACATCCTCCTAACACACTTTAACACAGAATAATATATTTTTTAGCACTGTTGCTTTTATGTTAAATTTTATATTATATTTATATTTTCACCATTATATGTACAAACACCAAGAAACAGTAAATATTAATTAGGTTCTGGTTGGTTAGAAAGGTTTTCTTCCTTATTGACTACCACTGAACTCTCCCCAGTTTCTGAACATCTCTTCAGTGTCATTGTTCCTTTGATGAAAACAAACACGCTGTGTTACTCTATGTGCATCACGATGTTTAAGATATTTCATACAGAGGAACATTCTTTTGCTTATAAAGAGATATATTCATCATGCAGAACAAAAGTAGAGTAAGTTAACTATAACTGAACACTTGAACACACAAGCTTCCTGTATTAAATATCACACAACAAAAAAGTTAGAACAAGAAAGATCATTGTTCCAAAAACAGACTGCTGGTCAAAAGGCTCAAAATATGGGGAAATTGCTTCGGGTGAAATCTATGAATTTTTGCTTTGTGTCATGCAGAAGACCCTCTTAAGGTCAGATTTGGAAAATTGCCTGTTCAAAATCACTTTTACAATGGCTGAACACATGGAATTAGCCACATAATAAGCAGTTGCATGCTGATGTCCCATTGCTATCAGAGATCACAGCCTTGTGTGATCTTTGATAGCTGTACACTGTGCTGTACACTGGTACAAAAACAAGATAACGACTGCACGCAGAAATAAATGTTATAACATGTTATACTTTTACTTCAGACGTGAAGGTTTATATATTTCAGCAGGTTTTAGGTCAACATGACAATGACTGGGTATCACGTTTACACAAAAACTTGAAGAACTTAGAAACATAATTATTTTCTTTACAGTATGATACAGTAACAAAGTCTCTCATTTGCCCAAGTTTCAAAGTGGTCAACAATAAAACCTAGATGTGTTCAATGTTGTTTGCATCACATGCTTTTAACTGTTGGGCAAGCACTCATGCTCATCTGGCAATGATGAAGTTTTTCACATGTGCAAAATTAAAACTGTCATGCAAAGAAACATTTCTTCTTTGTGTGATTTGGTGAGCTCTGCACATTTCTCTGCATAGCACAGCTTTACAGTAAAAATTAAAGTGTTTGCCAGTTTGTATTCAAATGTGTCAAATGTGTTGCATGACCCAGTTTTCCCTTTCAGGATGATTGAAGTTATTTCAGGCCTGGAAGCTTGCAGCTGTGCACTATGCAGCAGTACTGATCCATGTACCTCTACAGAGACTAGATGACATTCTCAAAGAGCTGCATAGAAGCCATTATATTTTCATCCTATTGAGAAAAGAAAACAGACGCAAAAGTTGCTGTTTTAGCACAAAGCTGCATGTACTGTGGTATTTTACGTATGGTAAAACGTTGTCAGTGTGATTACCTTTTGGCAGGTTTCTATGAATTCATCAATAGTCACTACTCCATCCCTGTTCCGATCCATTTTCTGAAAAATGTCAGACATGTAAAGGATGTGATAATATTTAGATGTCAAGGATCAGGCTGTGTGGTTTAGTGGTTGCAGAGATAACATACCTGGAAGAATCTCTCCACATGCTCAAAGGGGGAATCGTCTCGAACGCTGGGTGAGGTATACCTACCCATCATGTCATAAATGGAGGTCATTATTGCCATCATTTCCTGCAGAAGACCAGACAGACATACACATCACATCTACAGCAGATTTTGCTCTGTTTTCACATAAATGAGATTTTGTTAGTTGATTGTACCTCTTTAGTAACATATCCGTCTTTGTTGATGTCATACAGGTTGAACGCCCATCGCAGTTTCTCTGTAACGGAGCCTCTGAGCAACACAGACAACCCTATCACAAAGTCCTGTAAAACCAAGAGGAAGTTTAATTATTAGCTTTCATTAAACAAAAATCATAGACCTTTTTCACAGCAGCCATTCTGACATGAAGTAGTAGGGTAAACACAGGTGTTACCAATGATACTAATTAAGGTTGGTGTGCTGCTACTGCGCATGCTGGGTCACTGGGAAAGCTCTGCTACACTAAATGGAATGGAGCCTTGATTACGATCATTAGTAACACCTGTCTTAAACCTACTCTTCAATGTCAAAAAGGCTGCTGTGAAAAAGGTCTATTGTACGTACTTCAAAGTACAAAAACAAAAACAAAAAAACAAACATGCAGTTCCAACTCACCTCAAACCGGATGGAGCCACTTCTGTCCATATCAAATGCGTTGAACAAGAAATGTGCATACGTGGTTGCATCTGAGAACACAAAATGAATATTCAGGGTTGAAGATGAACAGCAAATGGCCTTTTATAATTACAATACACAAATACATTTCTTGATATTTTCTTTCACTTCACACAAGCTGTTATTTAGGTTTAACTGAAGATTAAGTAAAATATTAGTTTTGATGAATATTAACCACCTTGATTCTCATTGTTCAGACAGTTTTAACTGTTTGCTACTAGATTTAAAAATAAATAATAGAGGGCATTCATTTTTCATGCTTATGCAATACCTGTTTGCATTATTTACATACTGTACCTCCTTGAGGGAAGAACTGTGAGTAAATAGTCTTAAAAGTTTCCTCATCCACAAGCCCACTGGGACATTCCTGTCGAAAGAGAAACATTTGTGTTACGTTATCATAAACCGATTAGATTTTGGTTCTGCCTCAAGCATTTAAAATGTCAACTTTTGAAGAACATTGTTTAAAATTGACTTCAACTGCACTTTCTGTAGCTGCCCCACTGTCAGTCAGTCAGTTTCAGCTCGGGAATAGCATGCTGCCATCTTGGATCATTCAGATTTGTCATGTTGATATTACAAATAATCTTGTGGTAACCCTTCACAGAAGACAGAAGAGTTGAGGCTGTTATAGCAGCGGATTATTGCCCGTAGTTTTAGAGAGAGAGATTCAGCAATCATATACACCAATCACAAATCATACACCTTTCTATCAGAACCAGCATTAACTTTTTCAGCAGTTTGAGCTACAGTAGCTCATCTGTTGGATCGAACCACACGAGCCAGTCTCACTCCCCATGTGCATCAGTGAGCCTTGGCCACTCATGAGCCTGTCTCTGGTTCCTTTTCCTTCCTTGGACCTCTTCGGATAGGTACTGACCACTGCAGACNNAGCTGCAGTTTTGGAGATGCTCTAGTCATCAAAATCTGGTCCTTGTCAAAGCTGTGCAGTCATGTCTATGATATCATGACATTTGCAAAACTAAAAGCTCATCCTCTTAAATCAAAACCAGTTGGGAAGTGAATCTGATGACTGTGCTGATTGTTTTCATACATTTTTGAAGCCTCTGTAAAGAGACTGAAGCTCCTTCCTGGTGAACTGTGTCTGGGCTTGGAGCTGGTCGAGGCCCTCAGGTTGGTGACGCACCATGGAGAGTTCCAGGTCGCTGTCACAGCTGTCTGTCAGAGGGAAACAGAGAAAACAAGGGGGTGGAGTGGGAAAGAGGGGGAGGAATAAAGGAGGGAGGAAATACAGGTAAGACAAGAAAGAAAGAAAAATGAAAGGGTAGGAGGAAGTTGAAAATACTATAAAATCAAAATAGATGGGAGGCACAAAAAATTAAAATTACTGCACGTAAATAAAAATGCTCACCATCTTTACAAACAAAATACAAATTTTAAACCAAAAATGGAGAGGTTTAAGAAGGAAAGGTGAGACAAGGAAATGGGTGGGAGATAAAAGGGGATAAGAGTATGTATCGGATAAAAAAATGGCAAAAGAAGATGAATCAGAGGAAAAGATCTACAGTAGAGAATTTTTTGATAGAAATGTTTACGAGTAAAGGGAACTTGTAGCTTGCAGAAATAGTGTGGTAAGAGGAAATATGCAGGTATAGGATAACAACTGGGTAAGAGCAGTTTGTTAAGGAAAAAAGATCTCTAATTGTGGACACGTTGGCTCCGTCTGAAATAACTCCCTCTTTCACTCATTCCCTCCATGATAAACACACAATAATTTAGTCTATAATAAGTAATAAATTGAGATTTCACTACCATTTGTGTCCCGTGACTGACAGGTGTAGTGTCACATACATGATACTTCTTTTTACTCCATTGTGGACATTTTTGAGCTCACTAAAGAGCATAAACTTCACATTGCAACTGACACTTGCAAATAAGGAGTGATTTTAGACACAGCCATTCACTTGACATAAAATCACAGGTGTCACTTATTAACATTGATCAAGTCTCCATTTCATCCCACCTAAAACCAATGCAGCCATAATTCATCTTAATAGTAACACCTGTGTTTGACAAGTCTGTGTCCGCAGATAAAAAGGGTTATTATATCAGCCAATGGGAGTAAGGGACAAAACTGTTCAAGTTCAGCCAGCTCAATAAAAAAATAAGGGGACGAGATTAACGGAGATGGCTGGGATGAAACAATAATAAAACTAAATAATAATGCACAGATTGAGGAACACTACAGGAGGTACTCACCATCTTTACAAGAACAAAACACAAATTGAAGTTGAAAAAGAAGAAGTTGAAAAAGAAGACATTGAGGAAAGGTGATGAAGAAATAAGAAGGAAAGAAGAAAGTCACAGAAGCGTTAAAATATTGAGGCCTAGCTTGATATTTAAGCAACCAACATTTACAGTGAGGACACAATTAAAGAATAGATTCACATTTTAAAAACATTAATGTAGAATTAAAGAGTTTTTGTTTGTTGTTCACTGCTAGTATGAACAGGAGGACAATTACAGCCATCAGAAATTATTTCTATGATGATTTATATTGTTTCCAACTGTTTTAAAAAGACTATAAAAAATGTGAAGCAATCCTTTAATATTTTACAGCAGTTTTTTGCGACTGCAGTTACTCATCATTTTCAAACTACTATTACAGTCAACAGAATAACAAGAAAGTTTGACAAGATTGTTGTTCCAATGCTTTTAACACACAAACATCCCAATTTAACGTCTTAAAACTTTATGTCTTACCTTCCAGTGACAAAGGCTCCCAAATCCCGAACTGTTTGAGCACAACAACAAACAGTCCAATGACAACAGCAACGGCAATTATTTCCATGCCATCCAGTCCCATTGTTGCCTTGCATTAGATACCGCCTGTGCAAAAGCCCCTTTAAAAAAACCTAAATTAACGAACGCTTTTGTAAAACAGATACTGGATCTTCTCAGCTTGTATCCTAACAAACATCATCTGTTACCAGTCTCTTTACTCCTCCTGCGACCTCCTTTTATCAGTGTTTTTGTACAGGCATCAGCTATTACGTTCACTTAAATGAAACCCCTGACTTAAACCACTGACCAGGAAGAAAAACAGATTGACTGCAGAGCATCCTCCTTTAAGTTAAAAGGTTCAAAGTCCATCATGTGCTCTTGCAAAGAAATATCGAATTCATAGAAGCTTAATCCCCCCAAATTATCCAAAGCTATCTCCGCTCGCAAATGATCCATCTCTGTTACAGCTCGCCGGCATTCGACCATGTCCTGAGTTCATTTTAGGATCTCTCCCACAACTCCATCAACTCAGGGGCTCCACCCCTACTCACTCCATCTCCTCTTACTCTGTCCTGAGCTGTCGCGTGGTGTGTGGTGCGTGGTGGTGGTGGTGGGGGGTTACTGAGGGAATTTCTTTACTAATAGTCTCTGATTGACAGTCCACGCAATCTTTATTTGCTCAGTCATGTCAAGGATGTAAAGCTGTAAAACCAAGCATTGATCCACATTTGCTGATGGCAGGGATATGAACAGCACTTAGAAAGAAGGAGCCCGGCCCTGCCCTGTGTGGCGCTGCTCGTGTCTACTGGGTCGTTCAGTGATACACACGGTCAATAACTCAAGAGGATTCTTACTCAAAACTGAAAAACATTGTGACTGTTGCGATCGTAAAAACTGGTGCTTTGTTTATGGCGCAACTCAGAGGTCAATTCTGTAAAATGCTTCACATAACGTACATCTGAGAGTATCGGTGGTCCAGAAAGACTTGTTTACAAGTTGTTGTTGACAAGATGTGAGTGAGTCTTTGTATGATTGTGCTGTGCTGGAGGATGATGGGAGTAAAGAAGAATGTAGTTCACAACTGATGACTCTGCACAACATAATGGACTCGGTTTAAGTAGGAAAGCGGGGTGGAGAGGAAATCAATTGTTGAGAGGTAAAATATTGGTCTTAAAGAAAGCGGGCCAGAAATGCATTTGGATAGCCGGGGAGGGGTTATGTAAATTGACTTGTCCTTAATGTTAAACATCTACTGAAATAACTAATGAACTGGGATAGTGCCTCTCCAAAGAATTTCAATTCTATGGCTGCAGGGTGCCTCAAGAGTGGTGTTATTCTGTACCTACATTTCCCACAAATCCCTTCATCTTTGCACTTAGTTTTAGAGTGGGTTTCTTAAATTTTAATTATCACTTTTAAAGCCCGAAATGAGTGTGAAATGAGGTTACATCTCTAACCTCACAACTCCTCGTCATTGATCCCGAAGGTGGAACGACCTTCCAGTGGAGATCAGGATCACTTTATTTCAGTCTCTTCTTAAAAGACACTTTTATTAGTCTTGTGATCCTTCTTACTTGTATCCTTCTTACTTTTAAAAACAACTCTAATTGTTTTTTACATTATCACTTATTCTATGTATTGTTTACTGATGGTGCTATGATTCTTAGTGTTCTTTCAAGATTCTTGTTGTTTTTACCCTGTAAAGCACTTTGTAAACCCACTGCAATAAATAAAGTGTATTACTATAGCATTAGGATCTTTTGTGTTTGCAACATTGCCATTGTCAGTGATGGGTTGTCTAATAAAATGTTGCAACTGGTTAGTGGTTTGTGCAGTATTTTTGACGTGTTGGTTAATCCTACATCACCTGACAGAAAGACACTCAGCCATTACATCAACATGCAAGATGCATGAGCTCATGTGGGAACTCTCCTGCCATAAAAATAATGCAGTATTATACTATTACCTTAAGTGCTGAACTATCCCTGTTCTTCTATTAAATACAGACAAGAGTGAGGTGGCCTAAGCATGCAGACTGCAGACAGTGCAGCCATCAGTCTCACCATCAGGTTTTAATGACTGCAGTGAGAGCAACATTACAGCTCAGAGCCTGAGGCCATCAATCAACTAAAAAACTATCACACAAGTTCTCGTCACACAATTAAACACCCTTAACTTTGCTCCCTCTCAGCCCTTTTTCTTAGCGCACACATTTAGTGATTCCATCCGGTTTAGGCCTATTGTTTCTTGGCAAGAAACTGGCACTGGAAAGGCTTCATACACACATCTTGCATTGTGCATCATCAGACTCTGAATCTGATTGTCAAAGATACAGGTTTTTAAATGGGCAGCCATTCTGGATGTAATTTTGATTTCCATATTTCATTCATCTGTTGGTTATTCACATATCTTCTTTTAACAGCTGATACGATTTGACAGAAAGCACAGATGTTCTCACTCTATAATATCATATGACGGTTAGCTTCCTCTCTTATACAGTTATCAATGGGAAGAATGCGCAGCAACCGCAGCCACAATGGTAATTCATTGTACAGTTTGACCTCTTAAATATAATTAATATAATATAATCGTTGGGCTTAACCGACACTAAGTAGTCGATTCACACATCAGCTTCCTTGTTTCCTTTACTAACATCAAATCAGATAACAGCTCAAATGTAGCAACAAAACAAAAGAACTACAAAAAATACATAATATGCTGAGCTTTACTTGTGTGACATTTCTGGATGAGTTATTTAACACAGTATTTTAACAGTTTACCAGTGAGTTTTCTGATGTCTAGTGTAACAAACCTGCAACTTCATACACAGTATGAGGTGGAAAAACTCATAAGGCAGGAAGCGGTATCTGTTGTACAACAATGTACAGTAATTACAGCCAAACAAACATCTAAAAAACATTGTTTTCAGATGTTATAAAAGTGTAACATCCTCTGAGGATGTCTGCTGTGTGATGTCAAAAATATGTTTGTCATTGTGTTATTCTCACTTACATATAAATCATGTTATGTATTGCATCATGTTTTTTTCCAGCATTAAATGTTATGAATATTTGTTTCTGTGGGAGCATGCCTCTGAAGTAGCATTTTTTTAGGTTGTTCTGCATGAGCTATGTCTGTATGAGAGTGAGTGCAGACCACCATCTACTGTACAGAGACAGCAGTGCAGGAGACTTTCAGTTGCTTTAACGTCTACAGACCAGCAGATGGCAATCAAGTTGTTATAAAGTGAGGGAGAAATTAAACCTATCAAATGGTTAAACCTCAACAGTTATTTCCATTTTAATACGCAACTAACAGTCCCGATGGATAAAAATAACAGTAAGTGAGAATAATGATGCTAACACATTTTCTTTTGTGATTCACTTCAATCCTACTGTAGATTTACTTCAAGGCCTTATAAATAAAAGATTGAGACCTTTTCCTTGCTCATGTCCACATTAGACATCACATACATTGTTATATCTAAATTGCGTAATATAACTGTTTTTACAGGCAAAATACTTCAAAGTGATCATTTGTCAGCCATCAGAGCATTTGATCTGTGACTGTTTCCATCAATGTCCTGTCCAATGCACATGGCCATCTGTCTGTTGGCAGAGAGAGAAGTCAGCAAAATGAGTCTGGATGACAACAGCAAGTAATTTCTGGAAACCGCGGAGGAGAGATTTTGTCTGCTCATCACTATGTTTGTTACTCTGGCTTTTGTATCAATGGGGGAAATAATCTAACAATTCAAAGAGATTGTTTCCACATTAGTCGAAGTAAGGGTATTATTTTGTGTGATGCTGCTTGGACGGAGTGCAGGAATGAACGTCTGTCCTGCCCGTCAAGTGCATGCACATAGCTGACTGTCTGCGCTGTCTGCCCGCACAGAGGGGCAATGTCAATAATTTATAGAAACCAAGAAAATGGGGGCATGTAGGGGCAGTCAGTGGAAGACACTGTGATCTTCATCTGAAGAATGTGCCATTTCTTCTTAAATTAAACATGATGAAAGGAACTCCAAAGCTGTGTATGTATGTATGTATGTATGTATGTATGTATGTATGTATATTTTCTGGTTGATTAATCCCATCATAAACTGTAATCATGGATTGAAACGAGGCCTTAAAATGAAATCCTGTTGTTTTTGGGCAACAAACAGCTCTCTCTCTCTCTCTCTCTAAAAGAGAGGGAGGGCGAGCACTGGATGGTGATGATAGATTGATGTAGTGGATCAAACTTAATTCTGTGAAGCAGAATCAGAGGTAAGAGTGGCAGCGGTTCATTCATTGACTGATTAGCTGCTGAAAAGAAGTGGCATTTTGTGAAGAAAGAAGCCTCTGAGGTAAACACTGAATAGAGGGAAAGCAGGGTAAGAACATATAGTAGATGTGTCCTGTATATGGGGTGGGGGGTGATGCTTTAAAATTCATGTATTCTGTAGTGCAAGAGATGGAAGGCCTGCCCTCCTACTGTATCTCCCTCTGCTTCCCCACCTCCTGCTGTCACAGACAATCGTGCAGACATTCAATTTACTGAGTTGTTGTTTAGGGTGTGAGCCTGCTGGTGCGTCTCTATGTGCCTGTACCTGGCCCTTGTTGCGTGGTACTGGCGATAATCCACTTGACGAGACAGCACTTCATCAGAGATTTACGCGTGAGCCTTGGTTTCTGCCACTTGGAGCCCTCCGTCTGTCCACCCTGGTTTGGATCCATCCCATTGGCATCAGGCAGCAGGCCACCATCCACTGCCTTCTCATTCGCCTGAGGAAGACAGAAAAAGAAAAGCTCTTTACAGACAGGAGACAGACCTTATGGTGCTTCTCTATTAAGTTCAACCAGCTAATTCACCTGACCACACCTGCAGGAAGCGAGAAGAAATCAAGCACTCCTGCTTGGAAAAGGAGACACACAACCAGGTGTCATTTCTCCCATATTATAACAGACAATTTTGCTCACCAGATGGGCAATAGTTATTAATTAAGTTAATAATATTGTGTGTCCAAACTTAGCTAAGAGCCTTTGGTTCCTCACCCACCTTTGTCTGTTTGTTTTGAGTGTTGTGTGCATTGTGTAGGGGCATGGCTCTATGGATGGCAATGTTGGTTTGATGATGGCCGGGCCAAGACTTTGGTCCAGAGTGAACTATCTCAACATGGATTTGATAGATCTCCATGACATCTGGTACAGATATTCATATTCATGGTGCCCAGATGATGAATCCGAATGATGATGTTCTTGTTTATAGTTTATGCATTCATAGCATCACCATGTTAGTTTTGTCAGAGTGAGCATGTTAGCATGGCTGCCTGTCTATTGTTCTTGTTGTTGGTAGCCTTGGTAGCTTCGAACCGCACATGCAGAATTACTCAGAAACTTCCCTGGTGACTCTCGGGGTTTATGATGCTGAACATGTAATTGCAAATGCATGTCCCTGGATTTAAGTTCAGCTGGGCCCTTTGTTAAACTCTCTCTCCCTCCTGCCAGCCCTCTGCTGCACTCTGTC